AACGCGACGAAAAAATTTTACTCGTCATAAAACGATAAATAGTTTGTCAAATTTTTATTCATAAAAATGCAGTTTCAACTGCTTTTTATTTTATAAAATCCGTCTTCTTGCGCCACCAGAGGGCCTTTTAAACAATAGGTAGTCTGTTAGTGTTGGTCAGTAGTAGTCCAAATTCAATACGAACGTTTGTTTCTTGAAAATTTGAACACGATTTAAATACAGTATTTACTTTTAATATTACCGATATGTCATCGAAAAGAAAACGTGTTGCATTATCATTAAAAGGCAAATTAAAGTATTTATTTCGATTATCCGGATTTTTCCTTATCCGGACTACCTTCATCCCCAATTAGTCCAAATAATCGAGGTTCTACTGTATTTTGTTATTTGAAAGATCTGTCATGTTGAAGTAGAGGGCTTGCTGTGACGTCACATAGATCCATGGTCACGCTAACAAATATACGGAATCTGGCTATCCTTGTAGTTTAAAGTCCTTGGGTTAGGACAATCAAATATTGTAAATATAAAAATTGAGTTAAAATAATTGTAGACATTACAGAAATCTTGATATAATGAATCTGTACAGTTAATGTAAAATTCTTATTTTTAAGTATAACTCTCCAGCCTGGGGCACTAAGACTTTCCATACTCGTGTATTCGGCTTGGTGGTAATGGATGGGACCCTATATTATCCAAACGGACCGCTTAAGAAGGTTCCTAAGGCGTCGCTCTCCTATATTCGATTCCGGAACTTCCAGAGCAGTAGGCTGATACCTTACTTTCTCGACTATTCACCTGTTGTCTATTTTACATTCGTCTAAAAAAAAACATTTAGTGTGAATTAGTTGTTATAATTTTTTCTATAATAAATAAAACAACTTTTATACATTTGTGGGTAGCCTGAGGTAGGACGAGGTCGTACCTCTTTTTGATAGGCAACAGTTCGGTGAGAACTGCCCACTGGTCAGTGGATGGCTTAGAAAATGCTTTTTCTATCCCGTAAAGTCGGGATTCTTTTGTCAGGTCGAGTGGAGGAGGTGAGAGGGGTCGTCGGTAAAGTGTGAGCGATACTCGAAATAAAGACGACTTTTAACAACAAAACAACATTTATTGAGACGGTAACATAACTAACATAAATACATTGAGCTTATCTCGAGCGGACACGCGGGAGTGGAGGGAAACGCGCCGAGAGAGAGTGTACATTAATGGGTATCATACCTCTACGATTTCGGATCGGACGGTCGGACGTTTTCTAACCGGATCGGACAAGTTGTCTTGAGGAACGGACGGCGGCGATGAGGATCGGCACGGGGTTTCCCCGATCATGAACGGTGATGATGGACCGTGTTCACGGACAGCGACGACGGACCTCCTTTTCTCGTCATC